CCCCTTTCAGACAGAGCTGCAATACCGCAATATTGCGGTAAGCACGCCAGCATGGGTTGCTGTCTGAAAGGGTCGATACACCAATATGCCGGCTTACTTTAAGCCACCTTGCACCCTAGTAATATTGCGGTAACAGTTACTGGCTTGCTCTGTCTGAAAGGGTCTACTCGATATTGCGCCAATCAAGCCGGCTTGTGCATTTATGCATAAACAAAGTTAAAGTTAAAAACAATTGCGCGGTGGTATTTAAACCGCCAATATTACGCCATTCTATGGGACCCTTTCAGCCACAAAAGCGCAAGATTACCGCAATATTGCGGTAACAAAGGTGATGTGTGAAAGGGTACAGACTGGTTATGTGCCGGCATGCTTACCGCAACATTGCGGCAAATGTCTATCTGAAAGGGGCTTATGACAACATATCAAGTAGGGGAACTTTAAACACAGATCTTTAACCATACCTAATGAGTGATAGTAAGTCATTTTCAAATTCCCTACAATCGTCTTCAGTTCACAGTAAGCCTCTCTCCAATCTATTCCAAAACTGTCCATTGACTCTTCCACTAATCTATCAAGGTCTGGAATTGCCTTTTTCTGACCTACAAAATATCAGTTGGATGTGGTATCAGACTGGATTCAGTTTCAGTGTTTTGCTATTTAGCATTAAACTTGTTCTTTTTTTCAATGCTTTTATAAAAATGAAAATGGTTAATAATGATAATGATGACATGATAAAGAATGAGGTTGAAGGGGAAATTGGTGGTGATTCTAATAATGATGATGATGATGATAATGAGAATGATGAGGAAGATTATAATAATGAGGATGATGATGATAAATGTGATGACTGTGCAAGGATTTGATGACAATGAGAATGATGATATTGATGACTATGAATGTACTGATACGAAATATGGATGTTGACGACAACAGTGATTCTGATGATAATAATTCTGATAAAAATTGTGACTGTAAAATTGTAATGAAAATATTTTGAAAAGATGAATGATGATTGTACCAATTTCTTTACACTTGATAATCCAGAGCACATCTTGTGCTGCAATGAAATGCCATCGTCTACAAACCCTGCCCGCAACATTGATAGCACTGGCTGGCAAGAACGAGAATATGTAAAGCAGTAGTTTGTCTGGCAGGCAGTTGATATCATTACGATCCTTCAACCTTTGTAACAAACACTGCGTGTAAAACTGCAGAAGGCTTTTGTCACACTCTTTGAGAAGTTCGACAAGCAAGTCGCTCTTTTGGTAGTCCTCCCAGGAAGAAAAATACTGAAATATAAAAAAATATTAATATTTAACAATAACAATAAACATAGCAAAAACTTGAGGGGTGGTAGATTCAAGCCTGATATCCTTCATTAGCTTAAAAATATAGCTAACGTACAGTGGCGCATCCAGGAGTTTGAATATAGGGCCCCAGGGAAGGACTGCCGTGTTTGCGTCCGAGGTAAAACATATGGCACCTCCAGAAATGTCATTCTCACTTCAAATTTGAAAAAAAAAATTCTTTTTTTTCCATTTGTTTTAATTTTGAAAAATTAAGGGGGAAGAGGGGTGGCTGACCACCCCTTGAATCTACCACTGATGTACTGTACCTGCCAAAGAGCTTTAACTTGCTTCTGAAAGCGTTTATTGCTGTCACTTCCAGCTTTCCTCTTTTGTCTACCACAACGAATGCCTCTTGACTTTCCCCCTTTCTTCTCATCCTGATTGTCTGCCTTGAGGTGACTGACTTCAGGATATTGTTTGATTTGTCCAGTTTTTAATATTGCTGGTTCTAAAAAGGAAATAAAAGAAAATATTTGACAGTAAGGTTAATAAAGTCAGTCAATCTATCAATCAAGTCATTTAAACTTTTGGATTACTTACTTTGACATTTTTGCTTATCTTCAGTTCCTGCTGTCATAAACTTATCTCCCATTTTAAGTAGCATCTCATCATTCTTTGTTGCATTTTGTATTGATGATTGGTCACTGACTGTTCCTTCATAGCTTTTACTAGCACGATTTTGTGCACTTGCAACAATGTTCTTAACATAATCATATACAAATGATTCCAAAGTCTTATTCTGAGCAACAGTATTAGGTGACAAAATAGCCCACAATGGATGTTTATTCAATAATTTTGCCTGTGATTTACATATTGGATAATTTCCAGTCAAGGCATTTCTGAAGTCTCGATGAAAA